AATCTGGCACGATTACAGCCTTCCTTTTCTCTTTCTCTCCTTCTCTGCCGGTCCCTTGCGTTGGAAGAAAGCAAAGTTTAATTGGGATCCGGAAACAGTTGGCATGATCCACGGCTCTTTTTTCTGGGGATACATCATCACCCAAATCCCCGGCGGGTATATCTCGTCCCGGCTGGCAGCTAACAGGTAACGGCGGCCTCAACACCCCCTCGGGGCCGGGGAGGGGGGTCAGAGCGGGGCAGGGGGCAGGGGCTGGTCCCCCAGGGCAGGAACACGCGTGAATCCTGGACCCGCGGATGTGCCGGTGCCTTGATCACCGACCTTCAGACCCTCCTGTTGGTTTTTTTTTTCGTTTAAGGAGGTTGTGACAACGATATTCAAACACTCGGAGGCAAATTCAATAATTCATTACTTAGTCAAAGCTTGAGATTTTTTTTTTCTCTCACGATTGAAAGATAGTATTTTCGGATTTTTGTTTTGTTTTAATGAAAAAGAAACCCGTCAGTGGGAAATTTTCCATTCACGCACAAATGAATATAGAATGGGCGAAAAAACATGTTTCAATGAGACTTCCACAATGAAAAGGAAGTGCAGATGGTGCGCGGACTTAAGGACTCGTTTCTATGGTGTCTGGCAATTTCTCAAGCACCCAGGGTGCGATTCTACCTGTTAATTAGATCCTCTGAGTATTCAAGACACACGAGGCTTTCACATCCACGCTTAATGCCACGGGCTCGTCGTTTGCAGAAGTAGCCAAGGTCCTAATGCCACTCCTCAAAGCAGTTACTGAGTGCAAATGGATACTAAAATCAGCAATATATAAAAAATATATTAAAATCACCTTTAACTCTGCTTAGGAGTGTGCAAAATCAGGGGTAGGTCTGGCTCACTTGTGTCTGAGAAACTGGTCGGGGGAGAGGGAAGCTACAGCAAAAAATGCTCTCCCCAAGGTAAATACCCTTTAGACAGAAACTCTCATTAAAAATGATGAGTGTTTACTAATGGAGAGCTGCTCTGTAACTGAGATAACCCTAATATCCCCCTTTTTACAGCAAATAAACCCAGATACAACACTGATTGATCTGGGGTACCCATTGCTTGCCTGTTTACAATTGTCACCTTTCTGACCGTGGCTCAGAAATGCAAAAGCTTATCTCAAATGACAATTATCAGCCACTTAAAGGGTTCTTTCCATTTCTTTTCCTTTTTGAGCACTTTTGCATCTTTACACAGTAAAAGAGTAAAGAAGTCTGTAACTCCTCAGGATTAATTGGTGCTTTCTGCTCATGTAAAGAGTGCAGAATTTGACTCAGGGAATCCCAAACCTGCCTTCAGTCACCCCAGCAACATCACTGAGGTAATTTGAATCGACCCAAGCGTAATGTGATGCAACCTTAAGGATTTACAGGACAATTCCCAGGAAAACTCAGTAATAGAAACACAGCCTGGCATACAATTAAGACAGATTTTCCTCCTCTTCACAAACATTTACATTCACAACACTAAATGAGGACTAGTCCCAGTTATTAACCTGGTGTATTTTAACTCAGCAATTTTCACAGATTAGTGGTTAGTTATTATTATGGTGGAAGCCTCTAAGACAACCCAAGGTAAATGACTTTGTAAATCGCAGATTTAATTCAAGGAACGAGCTATCACATACATACCAGTAATTGCAAATAGTAAAATATGAATAGTCACTGTAATTTATATTTAGTTTGCAGATAAAAATGGCAGAGAAGAGAGTTCTGGGTCATCAGAGGTAGTGGATGAAATAATAGAACATTGAGGAGGCCAAACCTTCAGTTAGTTCTTGAATGCTACAAATAGATTTTGACATCTACATGTTCAACTTGAACAGGATGACTGACGGGTAAAGCAGCACCCAAAAGAGGGTGCAAGTCATCAGGTCCATACTCTTTCCAAGAAACTGCATGAAAAAAAGTCAGACGAGTGCATACACAGGCCTCAAGGCCGACAGCACCAAAGGAACATGACCTACTCTAAAAGTCTCTACTGATTTCCATGTCTAGTGCTCCAGCCACAGCTCGTCCCTTCACACTGTGGTGGATGACAGCCAAGGAATTCTTCATTTTTTTATCAACTTCACTTAATATCTTGTTGGTGTCAACGGTTTCCTTTGCATTCAGAGCAAGTCTAAATTTACACAGAAACAACAAATTTCAGATGTACTCTACATAAAAAATAATAGATCCCAGAATAGCATCACCAGCTTCAAGATGATCTGTGAGAAACGCAGCCTTGAGCTCAAGAAAAAGGGAGGTTTTCAAGAGATTTATTCTGGGAAGGGAAGGAGATAATGGTGTACATGGAAAATGTAGTAGGAATGAAAACCTGACTCCATGATACTTAGAGGAAGAAAATTGGGAGGAAGGTTCAGGTGCGCTTTGTGAGCTTAATTTGTTAGTGACAGGGAATTGCTGACTGTATGTCACCAAGTTTGCTTGACATTAATATTCAGTCTAGCAACCAATTATAGAGATTGGGTTGACATAATTTGATAGTTTTACTAAGGTATACAATACAGAAGAAATGACCCTCCTGTGGTGTCAAGTAAACCTTTCTACACGCAAGGCATTAATCTCAAGCTGGGCTGAAACCCTTTATTTTGATTCTTCCCCTGTTTTAAAATGCTTAGTGCCAACCAAGAATTAGGAGCCCTGAGCTCTGAACTCTCTAATGTATTTTTCTTCAAGCGAGTCTGTCAGTGGGAAGCATTTTACTGAGATCCTTTGATAATTGTGGAGCTCAAGGCTGCTGCCGCATGATTATTCTGCTCAGCCTTGACCCGCTGCTCTTATCATGCATAGCTCCACTTCTGACAGATCAGATTTAGTGACTTACAGATCTACAAGTAGTAAATTAAGTTTCTCAGGAATTCGCACTTGATAGCTTTGATCTCAATTTATCTCATGTTGCATCACTGAGAATTTTCTGTTATAGAGTATTTTCAGTCCAACACAAAATAAAACACTTTATATAGAAGACCAATGTTTATACTGCTGTAGCACCAACAAGGTCAAGCAAAACTGTGTTTAAAAATTCCAGAGAACAGTCAGAAACATCACTTCTCCTGAGCACTTACCTCTCAGGTGTACGATAGAAGTTGGGTTAATACGGTACAAAGGTCAATACTCCTGAACACTTTCAACCTTTATTGACTTCTGGAGGCACAGAGAAACTTCAGTACGTTGCAAGACAACACCTTCCAAAAGACACGGATTGGGCCTCAGGTGCCCCCCTCATTTGCAATCAGCAAAGCTTTAAACTTGCATCTTTTGAGTAGTGTGTGAAAATAGAAGAGGATTCCCTTTTCCCACAAGAAGCTGGAGACCTCTCCTCCCAGAGGAGGATCTGTCTCTGGAAAATGCTCTATGCAACCAACCACAGCAGGCTGGGGGAATGAAGGGAGCATGATGTGGCGTCCCATGGGTAGAGTTTGTTACAGCTATCCCTTTACTTGGGGTTAAGTTCTCAATGAACAATGAACAATTAACCCTGTCATCGATTAAGCATGACATGATGGTAGCAGAGAGTATTGAGCAGGCACTAGGAGTTTAGAGAGAAGGTATCTTGTCACATGGACATCCAGGTTGGCAACTCATCTGGGTTGCTTCTATCTGAACATACGTACAGCCTTACCCTGAACAAAGCTACTGGACACTGGGAGTAGAATTCATGGTCCCTGCAGAGATCTTTGCGTAACTATCTTTATTGAGAGAAAATCAGCCATGGTTCAGAGGTTTGGAGACTGCAGGGGCAAGGATAGACAAGCAGATTCCAGAGACAAATCCAAAATCATATAAAGGTTGACTGGTTACAACCCTTTCTGATTAGTAATAGCAAAGCTTTCTCTCCAAAAAGTGAATAAAACGAGATTTTTTGGGTTTGGTTTTTTTTTTTTTTAGATTGTTGGGGATCTGGTGCTATGTTTTTCAGTAAATCACAGTGAATTTTGACTAGTGTCAGCAGGGTTTTCAGGAGGAAGGAACTGAGCTGCTTTTGTATTATTTAAAAGTATTTTTCCTTGAAGAATACAGAAAACATGAACTTTCAAGTGTGATGCCCTACACCATGTATACTCGCTATTTAATCAGCAAGACTATTACTCATAATGGCAGTTAACACCATTTAAAAGCACATAGATCTCATTTGAATGCTTTTTACTGCTAGGTTTCAATATCAGCATTACAGAGGCTCCCACCAGAGGGGTTGTCATCGTATGATTACAATGCACTGTGAACAGAAAGGGTATAAAGTGCTAACAGTCCTCCAACTCTACCTCATAGAATCATAGAATAGATAGGGTTGGAAAGGACCTTAAGATCATCTAATTCCACCCACCCTTGCCATGGGCAGGGACACCACACACTAAACCATGTTGCCTAAGGCTCTGTCCAACCTGGTCTTGAACACCGCCAGGGATGGAG